ACAACAGGAATTTGCAGCCATTCAACTCCCCAAACTTTTTAGCTGCTTCTTGGCATGAAGAACGATTGGCTTTGGTTCCAGGATTGTGTGACAGGCCGATTTGTCCAAGTCTTTGCTAAGAATCAAGGCCACCTGGGAGGCTGAGATGGGTGGATCGCCTGAGGTCAGGAGTTCAAGACCAGCCTGGCCAACATGGGGAAACTCTGCCTCTACTAAAAATATAAAAATTAGCCAGGCATGGCGTTGGGTGCCTGTAATCCCAGCTACTAGGGAGGCTGAGGCAAGAGAATCACTTGAACCTGGGAGACGGAGGTTGCAGTGAGCCGAGATCACTCCATTGCACTTCAGCCCGGGCAACAAGAGCAAGACTCCGTCTCAAAAAAAAAAAAAAAAAAAATCAAGGCCACCATCTCCGGTTCCCTCACTGTTTTTGTCCGGAGGTGTTTCTCGTGGTCTGGGTTTTGCTGGCTGCGTCCTAATGGTGCCTTTGTCCCTGTTCCTCTGTCTCTGGTGTGTCCTGTGTGTGGCAGAGGCATCAGGGGCTCCATCGGATCCGATGGCTTTGATCCAAGGATGTCACGGGGTGTGCGCACACCAGGACCCACCTCACACCTAACTCCCTCCCCTTCGTGACACTGGCGGCTGTCAAGAATCGGTGGCTGCAGCCATTAATGTATCAGGCTGGCACCTGATGGTGGTGTTCTAATACGTACTCCTGCGGCTTCTTCACATATTGACTGGAACGCTTCTGTGCGGACACACTGCCCTTCCTTTACTCTTGGGTTACTCTCAACTATAGAAAAGGCAGGGAAAATGCTCCCTTCTTGTCCTCTAAAGGGTCCTGGCCTTTTCTGACTGGAGGAAGTGTGTGACTCTCGGCCTGCACCAACAGCCCTCGACGCCCGCAGCTGCATGGTATGGGTCCCTTCCTGTCCCTAGAGGAGGTCAGAGTGCGGCAGGCTGTTCCCCGGTGTAAACGCCTCTGTCCCTAACGACCCCTCCAAGAACTCCTTCTTCTGCAACTTTCTTTCTTATTTTTTTCTTTGAGATGGAGTTTTGCTCTTGTTGCCCAGGCTAGAGTGTGGTGGTACAATCTCAGCTCACAGCAACCTCTGTGAGTTCAAGCGATTCTCCTGCCTCAGCCTCCTGAGTAGCTGGGATCACAGGCGTCCCTCACCACACCAAGCAATTTTTGTATTTTTAGTAAATACGAGGTTTCGCCATGTTTGCCAGGCTGGTCTCGAACTCCTGACCTCAGGTGATCTGCCTGCCTCAGCCTCCCCAAGTGCTGGGATTACAGGCGTGAGCCATCTCGCCCGGCCTTTCCCGCAACTTTCTAACTTGAAAAAGTTCCCGCCGCAGAACAGTTGCAGGAGGAAGACCCCGGACGCTCCGCTGCCCATGGCCGGCCTGCGGCCCAGTGCCCGTGGCCCCGGGAACCGTCTCCTCACTTGATCCATTACCTGCTTGCTCTCCTTCCACTTGGCCATGACTTTTTGTCTGAACGATCTGAGAATCAGTTGCAGACTCCACACTCTGAACACCCCTGTATCTTTCCTAAGAACAAAGGTGTGGCCTTGAGAGGTCGCTGTGTGCAGCCTGGGGCATGGGACGGAGCCCCGAAACAATCCATGGCCCGAGTTCACTGGTCTCCCTCTCCTTCCCTGCCTCGGGGCTGTTCCTTTCCCGGGATTCTGCCCGTCCTGAACAGCGGGGTGTTGGCCAAGTGGCCCTGCAATCTGTCTGCTCCTGGACGCCTCCGTAGCAGGGGCTGTGGGCCACCAGTTTCTCCTGCAGGAATCGAGGTCCTCTCTGTCCTGGGAGGAAGGGGGTGCCCTCTGAGTCTAAGCCAGTGCAGAGCACTCCTGCTTGTACTAAGTATGAAGGAGGCTTTCCGAGGAAGCAAAGGGGAGCAGACGGGGGGGCCGAGCCCGCAGGAGCAGGGAACAGCAGTGATGGAAGGATGATGGAAGGCACCCTTACGGCCGCCCAGGAGGGTCGAATGGACTCGTGCCTTCGAGGCTGGGGGAATTTGCTTTTGTGTGTGGCCATGTTGGGGGGGCGGGTCTCTAAAACCATTTCAAAGGCTGCAGCCATCTCATCGGATTTGAATCTGACACCGGAACTCACAGGCCCCTGCCACCGTGGGTCCTGGGCACACGCATGTTCAGTATACACTCCCCGGACGGGTGAGCGTGGGACTCTGCTGGTCCACGGCCTGCGCCATCAGCCCTGAGCCCTGCCACACAGCCCGTGCCACCGGGACCTTTCACACCTGAGGTCAAATCTGGAGGTTGGGCCTGGGCCGTGGGGGATCAGACCAGACGAGCAGCAAGGGCCGCCTGCCTGTGCGGGGTCACGTGTGCGGGCGGGTTAGAGAAGGGGTCGGCATCCCGCAGGTCCCCGAGCCCCCAGCACCGCCTCCCAGTCACCCTGCTGCACCGGGGCCATGTCTGGGGCCTTTGGGAGGGTCCAGGGCACTGGTTCCTGAGAGCTCAGCTCCACTATCTACCCCCGCCCCTGGCTACACACTCAAAGTGTCCAGCCAGCTTCTGGGAGGATCATCCTGTTGCTCCAGAATGTTCTCACAAAGCTGCCTCATTTCCAAACACAATTTCTGTTTGCAGGTGCCCAGGCCAAAATTCCGCAGAGACAGGGGCAGGAAAGGACCCCTGTTCTGGGAAGAGGGCCGTTTGCTTGGCCACTGCCCCAGCACTTCCAAATGCATCGCTGAGAGGGAGACACTTCCCTGAGGGTACCCGGCCCTCCTCAGCCAGACATCCCCGTCTGAAAACAGCAGCTGTTCACGAAGATGTGCCAGTCGCCCAGAAGCCCACGCGGGGACATAAACCCCCTCATCCGGAAAAACCTCTTGTGAAATGGCGGATGGCAGGGCGGGGTGGAGGGAGGCCAGGCCTCTCTGACGAGGAATGTTCTTTTTGAGCCGCATAGCAGCTGGCACCAGGGCCCTGGGAAGCCCCGGGCCGTCAGCCTCGGACGGAGGAGCGCCCTTGTAATCAGCCACTCCCAGGCACGCGGCTGAGCCCGTTAAAGAAAAATGGAAACGACGTTCTCCAAGGGCGTGGAGGAGGCCAGGAGCCCTCAGCAATGCTCGGCCAGCACGCGTCCGCAGGGCTGGGGTCTCTCCCAGGGCGGATGCGGCCTCTTTGAGTGGACGAGTGACCGTGGCTGGGCGTAGCGTGACTTGGCCCAATCTGCCTCACAGCCTCTGAGCAATAAGGCCGGGCAGGTGGTGCTTTGGGAGGTGAAGGGAGGTCCCGTAGGTGCCCAGTCCCAAGTGACCGGCGGCAGAGAGGCCGAGCGCAGGGAAGGACGCTTTCCAGGGGGCGGAGCCGAGCTGTGCTCACACCCCTGTGCTTTGCGGCTGTTTTTGGGGATTGCAGGAGGCCTGTGAGCTCCTGGCCTCTTGCCAGGGGAGAGGGCGGAGTGGGTGTCTGAGCAGGGGCACCTCCTGGGTGAGCAGTGACAGCGCTGACCCCTCCACTGCCCACCCTCTGAAGGGCTGAGTGGCTGCTGCGCCTGGGGCCCCTCCACACACACAGGGAGAGGCTCCCCCAAAGACAGCAGCTTGGGGAGAGCAGATGAGCCAAACAGGAGCAAGAGGTCACTTCTCACTGTTCCCCTGTGCGCCGCGCCGGCTGCGGCCTCTGGTGAGGGGAGGGCCTCTCGCTGCAGACTCTTGCTCCCACCCGTGCCTGTGGGAGGGGCCTCCCCATGGGACCCCTATAGCCACGAGTTCTACATGCAGCTGGGGGAACTGGGAGCTTAGTTCCAACTCCCCAACCCCCAGCCCACCAGGGTGGTGGCCAGTGGAGGGTCAGTTAGGGCCCAGGGAGTGACAGGCAGGTGATGCCCTGCCTGGCACTGCTGCCTCCCCCCACTGGGCAAACTGGCAAACATGGGATGCCCAGGCAGCTACAGAAGGTCAGCTGGAAGGCTGCCGATGCTGATGTGGGGGGAGCAGGGGAATGCCAGCCACCCAAGCTGGGCAGAAGTGGGCATATCTGCCTGGATCCCTCACCCCGTGGCTTCCTCAGCCCACCCAGAATGGGGGAAACCCCACACCTCCAAGGCTGCTCAAGTCCAAGACGTCGTTCAAAGTGCCCAACCGGCCCTGACTTCCTCCCTGGACACCAGCTTCCCGCTAAGGGCTTTGGTTTGACCAGCCCCCTCCTCCAGCGCCGGAACCCCCCATACCACACACCTCTCAGCCAAACTGATTCCCAAGGGGGCTTCCCACCTGTGTTCCCACGGCGCTTTGCTCAGATCCTTGGAGGGCCCTTGGCCACTTGGCTCTGGTTTTACGCACCTTACCACATGCCACCGCCACACGCAGATCCTCACAACCTTCACAGCAGAAACACAGTCCCCACCATCCAGCACTAATGGCACTGTGAGCGCTTCTACCTGTCAGGGGCCGTGCAAACACCTCCCACGCATTGTCTCTGGAATGCTCTACCTTCTAAGGTCAATGCCATGACCACCCCATCATGCAGACCGGAAAGCTGAGGCTAAACTAGGAACTGGCCCAAGGGGGCATCAGGTTCTGCTGACTCCCATGTTTGGGCCAGGGCAGGCAGCTGGGAGGCACCGGCTGAGCCAGTCGGGGCCGCTCTGCAGAGGCGAGGAACATCACCTGTTGGGGGCACAAAGCCTTTTGAGAAGCTGATGAAAGGGGCCGCTTCCTTCAGCGACGCCAGTGCCAGCACACATGAGTTTCCATTAGATCTTAAGGAATTCAGAGACGTCCGAGGACCAGCCATGGACTCCAGGGAGGTCACAGGCACAGGCTCCATCCCCTCAACAGGAGCTGAGCCTGGCAACTCTGGAGCTGCCCCAAGTTACCCCAACCACCTTCCCAGCCTCGCAGGAGGAGACTGTCTTTGTGACCTCTCCCATGCCCCGCACCCAGAAGGCACGCCACTGGCACTGCGTTTGGGGAAAAGTGGGGGATCCGGCGGGTGGTCACCCATGCTCACCTGGATGACGATCTTGACCGTGGCAGTGTGGATGGTGGGCGTGCACACCAGGCCCCCCGGGTGCTGGCCGTCGGCGCTGCGGTTCTGCTGGCCCATGGTGAAGAGCATGGGCACCGCCAGCAGGCCCGAGGCCAGCCAGATGGCGCTGATGAACTTCTTGGTGCGGCTTCGGGACATGAGGGTCTTGGCCTTGAAGGGGTGGCAGATGGCCAGGTATCGCTCCACGCTCAGGCTGGCCACGTTGAGGGCCGTGGCGTAGGTGCAGGCGTCGCGCACGAAGTAGTAGCCACGGCAGCCAGCGTCGCCGAAGGCCCAGGGGTGGTGCACCCAGATGAAGTTGTACAGCTCCACGGGCATGGCCAGCAGCAGCGTGAGCAGGTCCGACAGCGCCAGGCTGCCCAGGTGGTAATGCACGGTGCTCTGCAGGCTCTGCAGCGACTTCTTCCGCGCCAGCGTGAATGCCGTCACCGCGTTGCCCACCGTGCCCACCGCGAAGAGCGCCAGGTACACGGCGGTCACCAGCGCCTTGGAGTAGATGTCGGTGTTCACGTCCAGGTGGCTGCTGGGCGCCGCCAGGACGCGCTCCGACGCGTTGCCCGAGCCGTTGCCGAAGCCCGGGGCCCGGAGCGCCGCCTCCAGTCCCGCCTGTGCCCGCTGGAAGGGGTCGGCGGCCGGCGCGCCCGGAGCCCCCGGCGTGGAGCTGTTGAGGCGCATCGGGACGCGGCGTCCGCGGCTCTGTCCCGCGCCTCCGGGGCTGGAAGTCCGGGCAGGAGTGGGCGCGCCTCCGGCGGGGACCCAGGAGAGAGAGCCCAGGGGAGGGCGCGTGGCGAAGACGAGCGGGCGCGCCGTCCAGCCGGGAAGCGCTGACCCAGACGCGCCGCCTTGGGCTCCGCGCTCCTCCGGACTCCCGGCTCTGCGCTCCCGGCTCCAGACCTCGCGGTGCCTTAGGCTGTCTCCAGGCTCCGTGCTGGCCGCGGGCTTCGCGCTGCCTCCGATCTCCAAATCCCGCAGATTCCCAGGCCCCCGGGCAGCAGCGCCAGGACCGATTCGGGTTGCGCGGAGCGGGCTGCTGGCGCCACGCAAGGCTGCCCCGGCGCGCTCCCTACCCCGCTCCCAATCTCCTCCCTCGCGCTTTCCGCGCCCCCGGGCCCCGCACACCTCCCGCCGCGCTCCCGTCCTCCCGGCTGTGCGCGTCTCCACCGAGCCTGCGGCCGCGCGGCGCGCCCAGCAGTGTGGGGCGGAGGAGGAGGGAGGCAGCCCCCGCCGCCGTCCCCGCCCCGCCCGGGTGTAGCCTAAAGGGTCGCTCCCCGCACCACTCGCGCTCCCCGGGGCGGTGCCGGCTGGGTGAGCGCTCCAAGGAATCCGAATTCCGGGCGGCTGCGGCCGGTACCGTGCACCGGACCCTTCCCGCCACCCTCCTCCCTGTTCTCCGCAATTTCTCGCTCCCGACAGGAAGGGAACTGTGCACCTCCCCCTACCCGGGCTCGCTCAGTGGCAGTGAGGGTGTATCGGAGGGCAGGGAAGGAGGAAGCTCCCGCTGGTAGGGCTGGGCGACTGCACAGCTGGCTGGGCCACCCCCCGCTTCTGGGTGTCCACAGGGAGCCAGAAGCTGGGGGCCAGGGGGACTCTAGGACCACTGGAGATTACATTTCTTGCAATTCCTTTTAAAATCTGGCAGCAGTCATGGGCACGCATGGTCTGTGAATGCGTTATCTCTGGGACGTGCCCCGTGGGAATGGTGGGGGCTCAGGGCACAGTTCTCACCTGGGGCAGGATGGCCTGAGGCAGTACTTCAGACACCTGCAGGGGGTGGGCAGCTGGGTCCTGCGGGAGCCACATATGGTTTCATCAAAGTCTGGGGAGGGGTGAATGGGGGAAGGCAAAACCAGGCATCCAGAACAGCACCCTCCCCACTCAGGGCCCGCACCTGGCACCCTGGGCCGGTCTCATGACGCTATGGGGTGTGAGTGGGCACCCTCTGGGCCCTTTATTACTGCCTGGATTTGTCATCGAAGTCACCCTGAGAGCCTGAGCCCCAGCAGGGTTTGGGAGGGGCAGCTCCAGCACCCGCCACACTCCCTCTGAGTGCCCTCACAGGGTGGCCGCCGGTCCCTGCTCGGGAACCAGGTGACGGTGAGATTCTTGTCCTTTACCTGTCCGCCAGCACCTGGCAGCACTGGCATAGGTGGTCAGGCACAAGCTTGCCCCCCAACTCTGGGTTGCCCAGGGACCGCCAGGGCACCACTGTCACTTCTCTAGGCCCTCCCCGCCCCCTCCCCTGCTCCCTCCTCCCAGAACCCCGGGGAGAGGTTGGGTGGAGCTGCGGCCCTCTGTGTGCAGGGGTGGGAGGGGCAGCTCGGGTGCAGCCTGGGAACCAGCTTGGCCTTTGCGGATGTGGCTGGCTGCACCTGCTGTGCTGGGAGCAGGAGACCTGGCCAGGCTGGTGTGGGGGAGCGCAGGATGTTGAGGGAAGCAGAAGGCTGAAAACCCCCCTCCCAGACCCGCCCAGCTGGGAGAATTCGAGGCTTCTGAACCAATGGCTGGCAGCGGGACTCTGTTTTCACCCTGATTTGGGCTGGTCTGTTCAACTGAAGCTGGTAGTCTTCTCAGGGAGCCGCAGCTCACAAAAATCTGAGCTTGGAAATTCTGGCATCAAAGGAAACGCCAGTGGTCCCTTTGCTGGAAGCCAGGACAGCAGGCTCAGAAGCCAGCAGATGGGGTTTGAACTCTGGCCCCGCTACTTCAGATTTGGACGAGTGACAGCAGCTCTGTGCCTCAACTGAGTCGTCTGTAAAACGGGAATAGCGGCTGAATGAAGGGCAGGGCTGTTCCTGATGGGTCTCCATGGGGAATGAACGAGGTTGAATGAGTTGTCAGGTGTGAGGTGAGGGTAGGCTGCAATAGGCCAGATTTGTCCTCTGAAGGCAATTCACCAGTTGCGTACAGAGGTTTAGGCAGGGACCTTAGTGTCCATGCCACACTAGGGAGTCCAGGGGCTGGACCGTGTCAGGTCCAGGCACTCACCACTGTCTTTGTAACCCTGGGGCCTGACCATGGGCTGGGCCATCAGGTGCCTCTGTTGACCCCTGCAAAGAGGAAGGCCACAGCAATGGGCACTGGGGTCTGTCGCCCTGCCAGCCGGAGCAGGATGCAGCAGAACCGTGCGCTCCCTCTGCTGAAGCTCATTGTTTGGTTTTCAATCCCCTGACCTTTTGGCTAAGCCGCCCTCATTTTCAAAGATTTATCTTTGAGTTAGCCTGGGAGCTTAAAAAATCATAAAAGGCAACTTAGTGCAAATATTGTGATGGAGCATTTGTTTAAAAGCACGTAGGAAAATGTCACTCAGAAGGCCTTGCTCTACACAAGGTATATGGCGGGCTCCTGGTGAGGGTCCCCGGCGGCCACACCGCGCTCGGCCATTCTGAGCTCTCCTGTGCACGCACGAGCCGGATGGCTCAGCAGCTGGAAGCTTTCAACCTCACATTGTTTGCCTCATTCTCTCCTGATTTCTACAGATGGGAGCCCTTCCTAAACAGCTGAGACTGTTTAAAGAAAGTGCCGGTGAGGCGCTTGGGAAGGGCCGGGCTGGGCCCTGCTGTGCCCATTGGTGATGCAGTCACACCCTTGGCCAGGCTGATGCCTTCACTGACAGGTGAAGCCGGGCACGGCCTTGTGGGGGGCAGGGCTGCAGGGCCGAGTGTCTCCTGCAAGCTGGAGAGCATTGGGGACATGCTCCCCTGATCCCAACACTCCCAATGCTGCCTGCTGGAGGGGAGCCGGCCGGTCTGGTGAGCAGCAAGGGCCAAGATCCTCTGACACCACGGCTCAGATTCTAGGGCGCAGCGGGAGTGCTGACCAGGGGCAGCCAGCGCACAGGGGACAGTTCTGGCTTTCTGTGACTTCCCGAGTGGTGTGAGCAAGGCCATGTCCTCATAACCAAGCAAGTATTGACATTGTGCCTGGGGTGACAATCACGTCTGAAGATTCACCACAGGTGCGGTCCCTGGGAGCATGTTCCTAAGTGGGGGGGGTCCCTGCTTGTTTGGTTGACCAGCTTACCCCAAGTCCCTCCAACGCTGCCTGGTAGGTAGCTGGTGCTCGGTGGCTTTCTGTTGCACTCCTGGAGAAGATGTGAGGGTGAACTGAGCGAGGCCAGGCCAGCAGGCTTCCCATGCAGGAGAGGCTCATGCTTCCCTTCGCTCAGGCCCCCAGCTACTGTTGCTAGCAGGAAGCCTTCTTTGCTACATTGAAAAAATTAAGTGAGTTTACAATAATACCTCTCTCGGTATCTATTGCTGTGTAACAAAATGCCCCACACGCAGTGGCTGAAAACAACGAGCATTTATTATTTCATCAGTACCTGATTTCCTATGGGGATGAAGGCGGATGGGGAATGAGGGGCACAGAAGATACGTAACATACATAATCGGTAGAGCTTGGCTGTAGATTTTCCCACCCACAGCATGGAAATTGCACATGTTCCAGGACGCACAGTGTTCCAAGGAGGATCTTTAAGAATAGAGCGGCAGGTGCCCATGTGTTCGCGTAGCGAGTGTTAGCAGGCCGGCAAGGCGGGCGGAACCCCTTCCAGCCTCGCGCTGGCTGCACCCCTGCCATCTCTGGGGCTGTTGGCAGATTCTGGGGGTTGCCCTCCAGACAGATCAAGCCTCAGCCATTGGCATGCTCGTCCCCCACATCCTCAGGTCGTCCCTTGGATCTTGGCCAGCTTTCTGGAAACGTGAACTGTCATCTGTGGCTGCCCATGAGCACAGCAGCCGCTGCAGGGGAGAGTTCCCGGGAAGGCCAGGGATGCCGAGGGCAGGTTGGGGTGACAGGCTGGAGAGGAGGTGGTTTCGAATCCCAGCTTCACCAGGCCTGGACCCCCAGTTCCCTGCGTGTGAGATGCACGACAGGGCCCCTCGGTCAGCAGCCTGCAGTGAGCACCTCGTGCTGTGCACTCGCTTCATTCCGCAGAGGCCAGGGCTCAGCCTGGCGGCTGCAGGGAGCTGCAGGGGCTGTGTGGGGGGAGGATGGCCCGGGTGGGGACACGTTCCGGACGCTGTGGTGGCTATCTGGTACGCTTGGCTGAGGATGGAGAGTGATTGCCCGCCAGAGTTACGTGTGGTTTCCGTCAGCATCACAGACACTCGGCAATCCTGTCCCGTGCCTCAGGCGAGCCGGGGTGGCCATTCCACCATCTCGAAGGTCGCCTGAGAAAGATGGCGCCGGCAGGCTGGGAGGCTCGGGGTAGGACACACAACTCATTCTAGTTTTCCTGAGACTTTCAAGGCTTTAAAACAAAGTTCAGAGACTGGAAGCTGGAGCTCTCTCAGTTTCAAGCAGCTGGGGCTGAGGGTCCCCTGGCTGGGTGCTCTGGGAAGGGTTGAGAGTGGCCCTGGCCGGGTGCTGTGGGAGGGACTGAGGTGGCCCTGGCCGTGGCCGTGGCTGTGGGAGGGGCTGACGTGACCCTGGCCATTGCTGTGGGAGCTTGCTCTTGTAGCTCGCCTCCCTTCCCATGCTCTCTCCTGCTCTGCTGACCACCCCCAGCCCAGGTCTCCCGCTCTGGGACCAGGTCTCAGCACTCCTGCCAAATCCCAAAACGTCCAGGGCTCCTTCACCTCCCACGGCTAAGAAGCCAGGAATCTTCTAGTTCAAACCCGCCATGGCTCGTGGAGAGCTGGCTGCTCTGTAACCGGCCCACTTTTCAATCACGC